GGGGGGAAGGAGCGAGCAAAGCCCGTCAGTTCCTTCTGATGTCTTTGCTAAAAATCCTGGCTACAAAGAGATCTAATTGCAAATGAACTAATTAAGTAAACCTCTGACGAAGCGTGAAAACAATTTGTTTGACCCTGACGCTAGCAGAGGGCTCTCCGACAGCAGAGTTAATCAGTCAGCGCCGGAGCCCACAAGCAGTGTCAGCACTGCCATCTGCTTCCTCCCCCCGCGCCCCGGAGGGAGCCCGAGCCCCCCGCGCCTGCTGCTCGGGGCTCTGCTCCTCCACAACGAGCCTCCTCCACTGGTCTGGGCTGAAGGGACCTCAGAGTCATCCAGTTCCACCCCCTGCCCTGGGCAGAGACACTTTCCACCAGCCCAGGTTGCTCCAAGCCCCATCCAACCTGGCCTGGAACACTCCCAGGGATGGAGCAACTCCAGCAGCAACCTCTGCTGTGTTTTCTCCTTCTCCATGGGGTCTGGGCAGAGGCTTTGGGGTGCTGCCTCTATTTCCAGGGTCTCCCATGCTGCCCTGGCTGAGAATGTGGGTTCTCCCCTCCTGCAGGAAAACCTCCCTCAAAAGGGAACACTTACTTGACAAACTGTCCCAAGTCCTCACAGAGGGTTTCGCAGCCAGGCCACTTGCACTCTCCGTGGCCGTAGAGCGGGTGGGAGCCAGGGGTCTCTTCGTGGGAAGAGCTGCAGAAGTGGGAAAAGGGCCATCAGACAGGGCATGGGATGCTCCAGCGTTCCAGTGCACGGGGACAGCCCTTGGGGACTCACAGGGGACACCACAGAGTCTCCCTGACCTCCGTGGGCACAGCGAAACAGCAACAGGACTTGTTCGCAGGGTGGGCAGAATCCCCCCCAGCCCAGATCCCAGCCCTTCCACCTCTGGAATAAAAACACAAAGTGCCAGGGCCCGACCCGGCTCTACCTGTCCCTTCTCGGCGTGTGCATGGTGCTCTGCCCATTGGGCAGAGGGTGATGGGAAATGGGAGGCGAGACCTTGGCGGCCGAAAACGAGGTAGAGTTGGAGGTGTTGGTGGTGAGGTCAAGACCTTCTTGCTTAATGCTGTCCTCGACGGGCTGGGCGGCCGTGACCTCCTTCCAGAGCTGCTGGAGGTCCGAGGGGCACACAGCTGCGGCGTGGGAGACAGACATGTGGTCAGCAGGGACACGAGACAGCACCCAGGGGCTCCCTCCCTGCTCCCTGGCACAGCTCAGCTGCCCAGACCTCAGGCAGCTCAGCACCAGGAAACCATCACCTGAAGCTGAGCACAGCCCACAACACTGGTGATGACGAGCTCCCGTAGGGGGGCCCAAAACAAAGTGCCCACAGCATCCAGGGAGCCCCACAGAGCTGACCTGAGAGGGAGGACATCCTGTCTTCCCACAGCCTGGCACCTCTCTATGAGAGGAGGAGGTGCCCTAACCCTCCAGCCAGAGGAACCCTGACCCCAATCCTGCCAAGTTCCTGCTGCTGATGCCACCAGACCCCAAACTTTAGGTGGTGCATCATGAAAAGCCACCCCAGAGCCCCTTCCCAGCCCTCCTGACCGGGAGCAGGGGAAGCTGCATCCAGAACTCCCCACCAGGCTGGGCACCAGGCTGGGGGTGCTTACCTTGGGGCAGTGTCTGCAGGGGCACCGTGCCCTGCCCCGGCGGGAGGCTCACCAGGCCCTGGCG